TGATTAATATGATAAAGTGATTATTAATCAGGTGAAATTTATATTTTCAGTTTATTGTACTGACTGAAAGTATTAATTTTTTTTTTTTTTCATTAATTAAGTACGAAATTTAGAAATAGTTATTTTTCATGTTTTATACGCAAGATGTACTTTTATATACTTATTTTAGAAAATAAATGAATAAATGCAACGAAGTACCTCAATAAAAAAATTTAATAAGTAATCATGCGTCAAATTAGGCAGTTTCCACACTACCCTTGAGGTACTGCCTTGTTTCGATTACAAGTACATCAGTGTTTTACGTTAATACTGACATATTACGCTTAAGCGTAAAAAAATTTCGCTAGCCCACTCAGCTACCGATAACTTTCTCCTACGTGATACTAAAGCAGTATATAAAGTGTTAGGGAAGGCTTGGGTTAACCATCTGGGGGGAGGCTGGAGTGGGGAAGCTAGAGAGAGAGCTCAGGCGGGGCCTACTTTAAGCAGCGCGCTGCTGTACTGGCGAATGAGCATTAAGCTCTTCTGCGCATGTGCGACTTTGCAGTACCGTCTGGCATCTCTGGCGTGGACTTTGCTACTGCGCAGGGCACGGAGTTCAGACCCACACTCTTTGACTCACTTTACCGTGGCGCATGCGCTTTTCACAAACGGTTCACACGCCTAGAGCACTCAGCTCAAACCACTTCTGACACACACACACATATTAGTATTAATATTGGTATTTTTAATTTTAGGACTATCTTCAGCTTTGCCATGTAAGAGATCATTTTTTCTTTTGACTTTTTTGCCTTAACTGCTCGGTGTGCGAGTCTTTCGTGCAGGCCTCTTGCAGAGTTCCCCTCAGACGACTCGGTCATTTATCCTACTGGGTACTATTCACAGGGCGCAGCGATTGTCTCGAGCACACCCTAGCTATTATCAAGTTTAACTGACAGATATTTTTAATAAACTATCTAATTCGCTGTACTGACTTTTTTATAAGCAACAGTAACTTTTTATCCAGGGAGCTGGCCTGATGTTGGCTTTCCTTCAAAAAGAATGTCCCAGGAGGTCTAGACATCATAAAAAAAATCGACTATAAGTTTTAAAAACCGGATAAGTGGTGTTTCGGCAGTCTGGGTACTTATCCCATCGAAAAAGCCCGAGAAAAATATTTCGAAAATTTTCGATAGGATTTGAACCCATGACCCCTCGAGTATCTCCGGCCAGGCGGCTAGCCCGCTAACCAAACCATCGAAGCTCTCACACACACATCCACGCACACATGACGTAGAGTGTGTGATTTCATACAATTTATTTTAATCGATCCTATATACTAATTTTTTATTACATTTTATTCACTTATTTTATTTGGTATTTTTGATACAGGAAATAATTATTTCTTTCATGATAATCAGCCAACTTTAAACAAGTAATGTTAATAATAATGATCCGAATCATTTAATTTAACTTAATACCATACCTTGAGAAACAAGGAGGTATGTATTTAACTTTCTTTTTTATTTGTTGTTCTATAGTTTATACTGTCATACTATTACCAGTAGATTTTATCTTATTTGACGACATTATAGTAGAGTGTATGTACCGTCTTACTACTTTAAACCCTTCATTTTTATCTGTTAATTTTTGAACAAATTTATTCGTTTATTGAGTACTTTATTTACTATTCTTATTTATCAGTTGTCTTTATTGGTCTTAACTTGTTCCAGAGAAAAATTTAGTAAATAATTGAGGACCCTTAATCACCTCCGAATATCAGTACCTAATAAGAATTTTATTTTTGTTTATTTCTAACCCAATAACTTTCATCTGCAACCTATCTCAAACAAGGAACAGGTTATTGTTAAATTAATAATGTGTGCACTTAAGGGTGTCCTAAATCCTTGGGATCACCTATCTGAAAAGAATTCCATTATTTTAAAAGTCTGATGCTAAACAGTGCAGTCGACACTCCCTAGCAAAGCATTGGATTGGTTAACCCTCTTAATTGACCATGCACATACCTTTTTTTATTACTATTTGACCCAAATGATATGAAACATATGTGGAACACGGAGAATGTTAAAACTAGACTTAACGAAAATTTCACAAAAATTTAATCTGGAACAGTCCAGAATACTTTACTCATTAAAAGTATCTAAGAAAAAAATGAAAAATAAATTTATCGGTAATCAGATCACCAACTCTCAGAGCAGTGTTGACAATATGATTTTAAAAATTTCAATTCAAGCTCTTATAAGTAGAACTTGATCTATATGTACATTAATAATATCTTTTTCACTATCACTTGGTTAACGTCTGCTTACTTATAGCTAAGTCTTTTTTCGGCCTGTCTTCGTATTCTCACGTTGACATTTTTATTACACGCAAGTCAATTAATAAGACCTTAAAGTTTTCATATTAAAGACTACATAAACAAAATTATCATGAATATTCTTTTTACAACTATTATTTTATATCCATTTCTGTTATACATTAATTCATAGTAAAATTTGGCATGTTTTGTAAAGCAATAATTCAAAATTTAAAAAATTTGTTTTGTAACATTATTTTAATTACCACTCGCAGAAATTCTTGAACATCATGTTGCATAAACGAGTCCAACGTTTCCCAACCAAAGCTCTTCGTTAATTTTTTTGTACCAACTGGTTTGTCACAAAACTGAAGTTCATGAAATACCCTCTGTAATGCCAATGCTACACTTTTACTTGAATCATCACTTTCAGTTGGCATTTTATAAACAGCTTTACGCAGCTAAAAAAAATGCACCAAATTATATTACAATAAATATAAAAACTTCTTTAGTACAAATAACTTTGAAATCTGTTAACATCAAAACTATAAAGGCATGGCTGTAAATATTACGTACTATAACTAACGTATTGTGTAAAAATGCGCAGCTAATAGGAGATCTGCATGGAATTCTTGTGTCCAACTGAGTTCTTAATTTTAACGTAGTTTTACCTACTCATTTATTTTTAAATATTCTCTAAATAATGCATTCAAATACTTCAACCTTTTGCTTTTATAACATTGGAAAATATCGAAAAATTGTAAGATCATGATAAATAATTTATATTCTAAAAATTTCACACCATAAAAATTATCATCAATTGACTTTATGAAATTAATTTCTTCAAACTCTACAGAACATCTGGAAAATATAACTGCACATTTCGTTGATAAAAATAAAACGATGGATACTTAGTTTTAAAAACAAATTGAAAACTTAGTTTATATGTCATGTAATATCATATATATGTCATGAAATATACATAAACAACCCCATATTTGACTCAGTTTAATCTATAGTAAATTATGTCGTACATTAGATTAGTTATATCAATAGTGTGTTTTGCATTTAGAAAGGGGACTAAAAGAACAATAACAAGCTTTTGTAACTACAACAATAACTTTCTTCTTAGTGTTTTACCCAACAACAAGCTTCTTTAACTTCGTCAATATCTCAATTTCGGAATTTAATTTACAACTAAATTGTAAAATGACTGTATTTTAAGCTATGTAGATTGAAAGGTAACGAGAAACAATAATTAGTTATCATGTAATGTAAATTCAGGTAATTCAGGACTCTTTTGATGGTGCGAAATTATTATACTCAGTTTTTCAAAAATTATATCACAATAGTATACACAATCGATTTTAACAGTTGACACACATTTTCTTCCATCAATTAAAAGAACAATTATGTATGTTTTCTTTTTCGAGTGTTTAAAAATCAAATTTTAAAACGTATGTCTACTTCAGCTATAACAGGACATACTTAATTTGTGTTGAGGTAATTCAGGACATCACTTGAGCTAATTCTGGACGAACGCGCAATTTCTATCTTAATTACATATGATCATTTTCGTATTGCCATGACAGTGACTATTAATAGATAAAAGAACTTTATTTAGATGAAACAATAAGAAATGAAGCTTATTTAAGCCTACAAACTAATAATGGTGGTTTGCAACGGGGAGCTTGTATTCTCACTTACATGAAGCATTGTCAAGTTCTGAATCCAAATAATAGTAATATGCAGTCGAAAAATGTGGAATATTACTTTTTGAATAGTTTTTATGTTACAAATCCAAATATTCTCTGCCATTGCATAAACGACAATCGTGCACGAAAAAATATTGGGTTATGATTTCAATTCTCTATATTACAGATAAATTGAATCGACAATCCTACTAACCTTTATTATTTGTGATATTTCTTACTTCAGTAAGGTTAGAAAGTACGAGAAAATTTTCACATTTTTTAATTATTTGAAAAAAAGTACGTACCCAATTCTGTCTCGATAAAGCTCAAGCGATTTAACTTTTATAGTAATGTGGAATACATATGATTTTAACATCATATAAGAAATATTGTTTTTTGTTAATTTTTTACTTCAACTTCTACTTTTTTTTATCATTTTCCATCCAAAATGTCTTGTAGAATAAAAAGAAATTTATTGTTTCAAATGACAATTCATTCAACACCGTTTTTTGACGCTGTGCCCAGTTACCTCACAAATTTTTAATGTCCCGAATCACCGGAATTCACCGTGTAATCAAAACCGTAAAAATTTTAAAACACAATTTTAAGAATTTTTTACATGCGTCCTAACAATTAAATTACATAATTATGTAACAGAAAAACTTGCTGTACAATACATGTACAAAGTCTACAAAAAATTCATAACATCATGCTACGAATATTTTAAACTCATACTAACGATTAAATTACATAAATTTAAAAGAAAAAAAATTATATAAAAAACAGTTAACAAATATTTTGTAAAATTTTTAAATTAGTATGAAAGAAAGAAATTGGAAAACCTGCTACTTGGCTCCTTAAAGGAGTTTAAAGTAGTTATTTTCTATATCAAATTTTTCCGTAAATATTTTGAAGGAATAAGCAGATTGACTAGAGTTCAATGGGTTATTTACTGAAGTAATTTTAGAATAGTTAGGTATCAAGCATAGCTTATAAATTATCTAAGTTTTTAAGCGCTGTATTAAAATTGTTAGATAGGTTTTTTCAAAAACATCTAAGTTTTCATGTTTTTAGCTTTTAGAACATAGAATGTCTAACGAACGTATACTTCTAAGGAATTAAAAAATTAGTAAGATGTACCTAAAAATTACAATAGTAAAATTTTATAAGATTGTTCATTTGAATCTAGTAGAGGAAAATGTTTAAAGTCACTCCTATTAAAAACGTCTTCCATTCTTAATTGACGAACTGTATCACTATACTTTTTACTGAACCACACTGTACCAAAAAGAATTTTAAACTACATACCTATATTCCATAAGGATCCTTAGTACCAAATATATAGCAGTAACTCTCACTCCAACTTGGTTTTGAATAACTATAGTCAAGATTTCTTTAAAACTAATGAGTTTAAGTATGATTATCAAATTGTAAACAAGTGCCATTATATAACTTACTTTTCAGTAGTTTGGTTTTATTCAAGAAATATTTTATGGTTAGTTTTCCGTCACGCTTTACTTACATATGAAAGCTACTAAATGGCTATTGATAATATCATACTTAAAATGTACTCTTAGATAAAATATATACACTAGATTGAGTCCTATTTACCAAAATTTTTTTTGCCGTGTCATCTCCTAGATTTCCTCAGTCACTTCTAAAAATTAGATAGTATGTAAAAAAACTTTAGAAAAAAAAGTTTTTTTTCTTTTGTATTTAAGTTAGTCCGTCAGTTTGTGGAAGCCTCTAAGATCAGTATATTTTTTCAACATAAAATTTAGTGTAGAAACGTCTTTTGAGTTTAATTTTCGTGGATTAAACTATGTAAAAGGTAAAAAATGTATCTTATTGTTGACTAATGCATTTGTCAAAGCTCTTTTTTATTTTGATGTAAGAAATCGAAAAATACGTGACATTCAAAAGCACTTTATACCAGCAGTTGTGGTTCTACTTTAAAGTACGAACTGTAACAGTTTATAAACGTAATTATTAACATCGACATAATTATTAAAACTGTTTGTATGTAAATGAAAATTGTTAAGCTGGTTATAGTTCTATTTAGATGTGTGTCGAATAAAATTGTTATTAGTAGTACATTGGTATGGTAATATAATACAGGTGCCTGTAGTCTTTGATCATCAGTCATACGCCAAACGGTTTCGTGTAATCGAAGTTATCTACTTTTGAAATAAGCATTAAACTATCAGCTACTATTTAGGAGTCAATGGTTCTGTATTATGTTATCAGTTTCTGATTGTTAGGCAGCCAGGAATACCACTGGTGACGCAAAACATGCAATCTGATAATAAAAGAAGGTACTGCCTAGACAAAAAAAAAATAATTTATGTATATTGGAAGCAAGCTGGTAAACTTACACAAAAGTATAATCGATGTTGTGAAAACTTAACTTGTATACAGAGAGAAAATAAAAAGTACAACAAAATAACCAAAAACTCTGTGAAACAATAAGTAAGGTAATGTTTATATTAATGATAAAATTGTTGTTTGATATTAAAAACAGAAAGTGCAGAAAAAAAGCTTTTCTTACCAACCGAAGATCTAAGAAACAAAAAAATGCACTGCATTTATGAATTTCTATGTAATGTAAGATTGTTACAAATGTGAGGACTATAAATTTTATGATTCAGAACATGGTTTAAAAAATAAAAATTAATATTACCTGATCTCTACCTGCCTAAATAACAATAAGTTTGTTTATAAATAAAAAACTGTTGAACAAAAGTAGTTGACGAGGTGGAACGTCTCAATGGTGTATCGAATTACATAACGTTTAAATCCTTTTAAGTAGTACATATAGTATTTTTAATTTACTTCACACAACTCTTTGTCAATGGTGATAGCGCGCAGAGCGCACAGAGACCAGCTTATAATAAATAATTAATTTGTCAAAAGCATACTTAATTTTGAACATTCGACGCTATAATATTTTTGACGAGATTACTTTTCGATAAAAAATCGTAAAATAAAAAAAAAATGAGAAACTTTTTAATTTTACTAGTTAACTTCAAACTGGAAATGGATGGTTAGCAAGGAGCACTAGCACGAGTAAATATATAAATATGTATATATACATAAATCTAATTGAAGAAAAAGCCCAAGTTCCAATCAAAAAATTTAACGGACAAAATTTTTATTGTTAAAATATTCAAGACTTTTTTTTGATGAGACCGCTTTTGTCAGATACTGTACAAAAGTTATCTCATAACACTAGAAACACATTGATGGAAATAAAAATAACTAATAGAGCTCGATTTTTATATATTGATATCTCATTAAATTTTACTTATTATTCTCTATTTACTTATATTTCCCGTTATTATTTATGCTTCTATGTTATACTTGAATAATTTTGTTATGTTTAATCTTGGACCATTACAAAGACCGTCTGATATACTTAAATTTCTTATTAACATTACTTTAGGATTTGTTTTCAATTTTAATTTGTGTGGTGGAAGACCTTCTCTGATATTTAAAAATTCAAACTGAAAAAACGAAGTTTTTGGGTGATTTAAAAATTAGAGGGTTGGTGCGCAAGGCGCACAGGAGGTAAAATCCTACAAGTATATGTATAAATATTTCTATATTATACAGTTATGTCGGTGAGGCATTTCACACAACCCCCCGGCAGCCACCCCACAGACTTTCATTCACCCCCTGCCGCCCCCCCACAGCTCCGCTACAAAATAAGGTAAGAAACCGTCATTTTCATGCTTATTTTAACATATTGCAGATTTTTCCACAATCCC